AATAAATATTTTAAAAAAAAAGATGTGGTCAGTAGAAAGCAGGGACAACAGTGTGTGGTTTGAGAATATTACCTGCTGGGTTAACAACCAAGTCAGAAGAACCGTGTGAATTTTTGGTGTCATCTTCAAGTTGAAAAACACCTACAAACAAACATAAGACATTGAAATAGGGGTGCACACAGTACTGTAACTGTCTGTTGATGGAACAGCTCTGGGTTAATGACTGAGTCTCCATTTCACATCTGAAGGTCCAGGCTCCTGCTCACACTGCTCCAAGAACTGATTATCAGAACTGTGAATAGCTCTACTTGAGTCTCTTACCAGAGACGAGGTGACTGGAATCTTCTGTCCCCAGTATCAATCAATCCTGATAACACACAGAGCTAGGTAGTGTGTCGACTTTAGGGAAAAACAGTCCATATTTTAGTAGAACTGTCATAGGCCCTGAGGTTTTACTTTGCACAGATACTTAAATTCTTCTCCATATTTGAATAGCTTGTGCCACATACTCAGCTAGTTACCTTTGAATGACTTTTAATGCAGTCACTATGTTCTATGATTTGGACATGTTTGTCCTCCACAGGTCCCCAGTGTGGCCATATGAGGGTGATGAAACCTTCAAGAAGTGAAATCTCCTGGAAAGTGACCAGGTCCTGGAGGTCATCACCTTCAGAAGAGATCATTTCACATGTGTGATCCTGCTGAGTTCCTACATGAGCAAGTCTGGACCCAGAACCTCTTTGGCTTCCTCCCTTGACATGTATTTCCTTCTGCACATGGCAATGGCTTCTCTGCCATATTGTGATTATGAGAGGAAAACCCTAACCAGCCAGCATTGTCATGATATTTAGACTTTCCAGCTATCAGACTGTGAACTGAATAAGCACCTTGACTTTATAAACTTTCCAGGACCAATCATTTTGTGATAGTAATAAACACAAACTGAGGAGATAACTCAGGGGGTAAAGTACTTGCCTTGCAAATATAGACCTGAGTGTGATCCCCAGAACCCTTTGGCGGAAAGTGGAGTGTGATGACATGCATTTGTATTTCTGCACTGGTCAGTGGTGAAAGATGAGATCTTGAGACACCCCCCCAAGATCACTAGACAGCCAGAGTAGCATACTTGACATGTCCTAGGCCTGTAAGAAACCCTGTCTTTAAAAACTGGTGGACATGCCTGAGGAATGATAGCAGAGATTGTCCTCTGATTTCCACATGCATGTGCCCACACAACTGCATGTACCCACACATGTGCATGTACCCACACACAGAAAAACAAAAGAAAAAAAAGCAAGGAAGCAGATTAACACAACCAGCCTTATCAATGGCTGTATCTCATGAGAATGTATTGTTTGCACTACTTTTTGAGGGGTGGAGCTTTAACCTATACACTGAAAGGCAAGTCAAGGAATGACAGGAAAGGTCACTCCGAGTTGATGTGGACCCATCCTTTCATTCCTGCCTATGCCTTTGGAAAATCATGAACACTTTCCCCCACACTTATCCAAGCCTGTTGTGTAACTTTTACAGAATTTTGACTTAGCTGGCAAGACAATATTCTCCCCACTCCTTAAGAATTGTAAAGAAGAGATGATTGATGTGGCTAACTAGTTGTTCTTGGGAAGGCTCTGCCTCCCCACCTTGGCTTTTCCTGCCCTGGGCTTTTAGGGGACACTACAGGAACAACAGACCTAGGAGTTTTGCACTGCCGTGAAGGTTTCCACTTCTATATCCTCAACCTTTAAAAAATCATTAATTATTGTAAAATAACCATATTTGTCTACATAAGCTATCCACCTGAATTCTTAAAGTCTTCTTAGACATCTAGTTTTAAAAAACCAAGTTGTAGCAGAATTAACAAAGGAGCTCAGACCTATACCCCCCAGCCCTTGGGAGGTAGAGGTAGGGGCATGCTGAGTCCCAGGCACGGTTAGGATGTAATGAGATTCTGAGAACAAAAAGAAAGGTAAAATTAAGCTCTGGCCACCATACAAATACAGGTGATTTCCTTTGGCTTTTTGAACATCCATTTTGAGCCATTTAGAATCCTGCTACTTATGCAAAATCCTTCCTAAAGTTGCCTGTATATGAGGTAGTCTGGAAAGTTGTCACCAAGAGAGATTTCTGGTCTCAGTCCCAAAGCCATGCATTTAGTATTTCTAATGAGCTCCTTTGTTAATTCTGATATAACTTGCCTTTTTAAAACAGATTTATTTTACTTAGTTTAGTAACGTATATGCATGCATGTCCTGGATGCAGGTGACCTCTGAGGCCAGAGGTGTCAGGTTCTCTGGAACTGGAGTTACAGGCACTTGTGAGCCACCTGACATGGGTGATGGAACTGAACTCTGATCCCTCTACAAGAGGAACTACTTACTCTAACAAATGACCCATCTCTCCAGTCTACAGTTTGCTTCTGGGGAAGGACCACCCAGCTTGGATCCAGTTGGTCAGTACTGAGGACTGAACCTAGAACTTTGTGCATGCCTGGTGAGCACATTTCCACTGAGCTATACCCAGCTGGACAGTAAAGCCTCTTTACATAGCACACATCTCCACTTTCTAGCTCTTTCTCTGGCCTCAGCTACAACCACCCCTTTCTTGTCTTCATGTTTAGGCTTCAAAGCTCTGTGTTGTAGCTAGCAATTTTGAGAAAGCCCAGAAGGATGTGCTGGCAGAAAGCTATCCTGTAGGGTGAGTCAGTCAGCAGAGGGACTTTCTCATTCAGGCAGCATGTCCCAGCCAGCCTGGAGTAAGTTTCCAATGCTCTCCTCCCCTCCCTATGTGGTTGATCCAGGTATATTCCTTTCGAAAGACTGGTGTCTACTTCTCTCTGGGAAGCTAAGTACAGCCTCCTTTCCAGGCCCCTCACACCCCACACAGACTGAAGAAATGCAACTTGAGTCACTTCAGCACCAGGATGAACTCCCATAATTTGTGCCTGCCAATTAAAAGTCCCCCTGAAAATCTGTGTACCTAACACCTTGGACCTCAATGGAAAACATCCATCTCTCTCTTTCCCTTCATCGCCATCCCCTCTTTCCTCACTCCTTTCTACTGTCCTTTCATCCTGCTTTATATATGCAAGATCCTACATGAACAGCAACAACAAAAAAATTAGCCAATGTTCACCAGCATGCAGAAGATCCGGAGCAGTAGGACCTCAAGGTCTGGGGTTAGACCGGGCTACATAACAAGAACGTAGTCTTTAAAACTCTTTAAAAGCCGGGCATTGGTGGCGCACACCTTTAATCTCAGCCCTAGGGAGGCAGAGGCAGGCGGATTTCTGTGAGTTTGAAGCCAGCCTGGTCTACAAAGCCAGTTCCAGAACAGGCTCCAAAGCAATACAGAGAAACCCTTTCTCAAAAAACAAACAAAAAAATCAAACAAATAAAAAACCTCTTTTAAAATGATAAAGGAGATGATAGGAGCTAATATTTGCATGGAGCTGGGAAAGAAATGGGATTAATGAAGCATATCCTTGTTCTGTCCTGAAAACCCAGGAAGTACAGGAATGAAAAGGTCTATACACATAAGCACCTATATGCACAGATGCCAGTTGCTTTCTGCAGGCCTGGGAGGTAAATTGAGTGGTCCTGTATTATATTTTTAAGTTTCTAGGAAGATCAATAGCCTCTTGTCTGTCTTCCCTTTATCTAGACATGACCCCATCTCTCTACATGAGCTATTTCTTGCCCAGAACTGACCTTCTGGCATTAACCCTTGAGTTATAGACACAGACCCCCTCTGCTACACCCACTGCAGCCCTCAGATTTTTCTCAGAGTCCCTTCAACTTTAGAAGCCTTCCCCTTCAGAGGACAGAGTTCAGATTTGTCAGGTACCTGAGCAGATCTTCGGTGGCTGGGTCTCCTGCCTCTTCTAAAAGCAAGTGTTGCAGAATGCAGTGCTGTGGTCTTGTCATCCTGTGGACAGTGTGCTTTCAATTTCAAGTTAGATTTGAAAAGGAAGCCTAATGGGTTATGAACTAGGTAATTTAGGTAAGTTGTACTATGTTACCAAATCTTTTCTATTTTGCATCTTTTTTTTTGAGGTGTTTTTGTTTTTTGAAACAAGGTTCTATTAGCCCAGATTGGCCTCTTACTGTTTATATAGCTGAGGAAAACTGGAACTCCTGATTCTCTTGCCACAAAACTAGTTTTATTTGTAGAAAAATAGAACCCAGGACCTGGTGCTATTCGGCAATCACTCTGCCAGACAAACTGAGATCCTATCTGCACCTTTTTTTTGTGCCACAATGAGTCAGCACCTTCCTTCCTGTTTTTCCACATAGGACAGAGTGGGGTGTGTGTGTGTATTGTATGTGTGTGTGTGTGTGTGTGTGTGTGTGTGTTTGAGAGAGACAGAGACAGAGAAAGAGACAGAGACAGAGACAGAGAGTTGGGTGTTAGATAGTGGAGAAAGCAGAAGTTGGTTGTCCTTTGTCCTATACACTAATTTTACAATGTAAGCCTGTTGTGGTGGCACACAACTGGAATCCCAGTACTTTGGAGGCTGAGGCAGAAGGATCTCTGTGAATTTGAGACCAGCTAAATCTACATAGTGAGACCCTGTTCACAAAACAAAATAACCCCCAAGTGAAAAGAAGTGGCAAAGGTTTCTTTTTTAATTAATTCTTTGAGAATTTCACATTGTATACCCCAAAATCATGTATTTTCCAGTCACCCCTCTGCATCAGCCCCTCACTCTTGTAGTGTTTCAACCCAAGGAAAACTAAAAAAAAATAAAAATAAGATAATGATTTTAAAAAAGAAAAAGGTACCAAAAAACAAATAAAGTATTAAAGAATAAAAATACACAATTAAAATATCAATTTCAATTAAGAACAAACTAAATAACAAAAACAAGCAAGCACACAAGATAAAACAAAACAAAAATAAAAAAACAAAGCAAAAACTGCTCCTGTGCCTTTGCCTCTCCATTGCCTCTTCATTCATCTTACTGGCATTGGGAGCTGCTGTGTGCACCATACAGTATACTCTTTTGTCCAAACAGCTTTCCTTGCAAATGTTCGTTGTGTAATGTGTTCAGGTTCAAGGTCCCTGGCCTCCAGCATAGCAACACTGATTCCCCAGTGGAGGAAACTCTCCTCACATCCCAC